ATTCCACAATTTGATGTAAAAAAGACACAAAAAGCTAAAAAGAATTGCTAAAAAGTGTCTAAAAAGACAAATGTAGCACCAAGCAGAAAGATCACATATTTGCTGAATCAAGCAGATGAAAGAAGTAGCTAAAATTATCGCAAAAAGGCAAATTTAACTGAAAATGGATAAAGTTAGCTGAAAATATATAAAAACTTACTTTAAACTTACCAGACAAAAGCTGAAAGAAGCAAATGAATCTGATAGAGACACAACAAGGAGCAGATTTGCTGAAAAGAGCAGAAAAAAGCTAATATTAGCAACAACAAAAAGCTAAATAAAGCTAAACTTAGCACAAAGAAGTAAAAAAAGGCAGAACAAGAAAAAAGTATAAAGTGCAGCTGAGGTTGAACTAGTTTGGACGATTTTAAGGACGTTGACAGCTTCGTTCAGTTTGAGAACAAAAGAGAATAAATTACTGAAAAACCAAAAGTCCTGAAGGAGCTGAACGTTTTAATGTATAAACTGTTGGAACTGGACAACAACTGTAGAGGGATGTGCTGAACCACGTACAGAAGGACACACTTCACACAGTAATCTGCACATCTCACAAACACAAAACTGTAACTTTGTAAGAGTTGTATTTTGGGGGTCTCAGTTTAATCCCACTCAGAGGAAACGCTGTAGAGTTTCAAACCAAGCGTCCATAATCAGCTGAGACCTGCTGCCTCCAGCCAAAAGCTTTTCTGATTGGTCCCAGTTTACGATCCAGTAAATGTGTCACATGTTGGTGGTCATGTGACACAGAACAGAAACATGCAACAACGCTGCGAACAGCTCCAAACGAACTGAACAAAGTCCGTTTAAAACCATCATGTTTGTTTTTAAAACCATCATGTTTGTTTTTATCTTAATTTAACGAGGCGAGTCAATAAGGAGACGTGATTTACAGAGGCAGCCTGGCAGGAAGCCAGCCCCTCTGAGACCCCGCAGAGCAGCAGAAAACAGCTGCTGTGTTTCTACATCAGCTCCTCGAGCTCTCAGAGTCACTGCGCCGGTGTGGGCTGGAACAAAACAAGTCCAGAGACCACCACACGGGGGTCCGGGCCTGTTTGTTTCATCCTTCCTGACATGGTTTTCTCCCCTGGTGTCCCGCAGAGAGAGCCCAGAGGATGAACAACATCCTGACCTCGGCCACGGAGCCCTACGACCTGAGCCTGTCCAGATCCTTCCAGAACCTGAGCCACCTGCAGCCTGCGTACGAGATGACCCTGAAGCCTGACTTAAGTAAATACTCCCTTCACAGATTGAGTAGGTGCCCCTCTGCTGCCGCCTGACACCAGGAATGATGTCATCCTCACACCGCCTGCATCTGGCCTGAAACATCTGCATGTTGTGTGTGTGTGTGTGTGG